AGCTCACAGCAACCTTCAACTCCTGGGCTTAGGCAATTCTCTTGCCTCAGCCTCCCGAGTAGCTGGGACCACAGGTACCCGCCACAATGCCTGGCAATTTTTTGTTGCAGTTTAGCCAGCGCTGGGTTTGAACCCACTACCCTTGGTACACAGGGCCAGCGCCCTACTCACTGAGCCACAGGCGCTGTCCAGCTATTTATTTTTTATTGCAGTTGTCATAGTTGTTTAGCTGGCCTGGGCCAGATTCGAACCTGCCAGCCGTGGTGCATGTGGCTGGCGCTATAACCACTATGCTACAAGCGCCGATTGTTACTGATCATCCTAACTTTTGGTCAAAATATCAGATAGAGTTGGAAGATTTTTAGAGCTACTTTTCTATTTCTGTGGGAAAATTTGGAAAAAGAAAATACTATCTCTAAGAAGGGTGTGTTGTTAAAGCTAAAACTAGTCTCTTTCCTAATTGTTTTGTGTGATTTCACCAAAGAATTTGTTCAGGGATTTGTTTGGGGAGCTGTTCCCTAGAGACCAAGCCCCCTCTGTGTCTTTTCTGGGAGGAGCCCCTCACACACACACAAAAGACACTAGCAAATTTCCCTGGCTTCTTTTTTGTCACTCCTCGGAGCTGCCCTTTATTTTTATTTATTTTTATTTTTTTGAAACAGTCTCACTTTGTCACCCTTGGTAGAGTGATGTAGCATCACAGCTCACAGCGACCTCAAACTCTTGGGCTTAAGCTATTTTCTTGCCTCAGCTTCCCAAATATTTGGGACTACAGGTGCCCACCACAATGCCTGGTTATATTTTTTAGAGACAAGGTCTCACTCTGGCTCAGGCTGGTCTTAAACTCATGAGCTCAGACAGTCCACCTGCCTCAGCCTCCCAGAGTGCTACGATTACAGGCATGAGCAGCTGCACCAGCCCTGGAGTTGCCCTTTAGATGCCTGAGAGATTTTTCCCAAAGATCTTGTGGGTACCAGGCACCATCCTATCTTCCAGCATCCCTTAGCCCTAGAGTGTGACTAGGTATAGCAGGGCTGTCTGTGGTCTTTGCCTTAGAGGGGGAGAGGCAAGGAGAGGAGAAAAGAGATGTGGTATAGAAAAGAGATGTGGTATAGTTTCTGTGAGGCATGTGTGAGGGGTGTTCAGTGTCAGGGATACATTCTTCCTGGTGCCTGCCCTTCACCTCACCATAGGACCAGGCAGAGAGGCCTGTCCCTGAGCAGCCTGTTCTCAGGATCTGCTCCTACTTTCATAAACTTGGGTGCACACCAGGGTGGGGAATGGGGAGGTCTAGAACATACCAGTTCAGACCATTGTGTCTTACTCTGGGGCAGAGTGGGCAAGGACCCCATCCCCCAGAATTTGAGGTGGTCATAGGGTTCCTCAAAAGCATCTAGCAGACTGCCCTTTTTATTTCTGGGGAATCAGAGCCTTTTTATAATATTTAAGGAGGATTTCTCCCTGCTGCCCAGTTTGGAATGGAATCTTCTGGGGCTGTCTGATCTGTAGACCTATGGCTTCCTTCTACCTACTACTGCCCATGGGAGCTTTCTTTAGGACTCTCATCCCCTGAAAACTAGGTTCATTGTCGTGATGCTCTGGATTATGTAACATAGAAGTATAATTTTTATAACATGTAGAAAGCTTTATTACATTCCTCTAATTTTACTTGTAAGGCCCTTTGCAGCAGGCACACTAGGGGTAATTCTTCTACTTCAGCAGATGAGAAACTGAATTCTGACAGTAGTGTACTTAGCCCAAAGGCCATACTCTGAGTTGGGTGTAAAATCAGGACTAAAACTTGGGGTTCCCAACTCCCAGGGTCCTTTAGAAGGTGAAAAGTCCAGCTTTATGTTATTCCCCCCAGACTGATTGATTCTTCATTCCTTCAACAGGACTAGTGGTGGTGAATCATTACCTAGCGTTTCAGTTTTTTGCGGAAGAATATTATCCTTTCTCAGAGGTAAGAAGTATCCAGCATATTCAGTTATTAACAGGGTTGGGAGGGTGCTTGTAGCTCAGTGGTTAGGGTGCTGACCACATGCTCCAGGGCTGATGAGTTTGAACCCAGCCCAGGGCCTGCTAAACAACAACAACAAGTTAGCCGGGCATTGTGCCAGGCGCCTATAGTCCCAGCTACTGGGGAGGCTGAGGCAAGAGAATCACTTGAGCCCAAGAGTTTGAGGTTGCTGTGAGCTATGACATCACGGTACTCTACTGAGGGTGACAAAGTAAGATTCTGTCTCTAAAAAAATAAAAAACAAAAAAACAGGGCTGGGGGAATAGAGGGGACCTGCCTGATTTGCTTTGTAAATTTAGTTATAATTTGAAATTGAGTCTACTCAGGGATTACATATATATATATATATATATTTTTTTTTTTTTTTGGCTGGGGGCTGGGTTTGAACCCACCACCTCTGGTATATGGGGCTGGCACTCTACCCCTTTGAGCCACAGGTGCCACCCCAGGGATTACATATTTGAAAAAAAAATATCCATCATATAGATGATTTTAGAAAGCAGTGTATATGAGGAACAGTAGGTATCCTTTTGGCTAAGGTGGGGAGGACCCTGCTCTTCCCTGGTGAGTCTTTTGGGTTTCTGGAGGGAGTCATCCTGAGGCTAGGAAGGGGCACTGGAGTTGTCTGGGGCAGACCTCCCAGGGCAGGGGGATGTACTCCTGAGCCCCCAGCTTTTTGCAGTGGCCTGCCAAGATTTTTTCCTCCCAGGGTTTCTCCACACCCTGCTCTTTCAGTTTGAACCCCTGGGAAGAACAAAGTCACTTTTGAGAAGTACAGATCAGTAATAGCGTAGCCCTCATCATCTGCCTTTTCAGTTCAGAGGAATTGCTTTTCTTAGTGACCAACATTTGGGGACAGTAGCCACCTTCAGTCATCTTCAGCCTCCACCTTTCACTACTGAAGTATCTTCATGTCTGAGGATGTCCTGTCCCTGTTTCCCAGGCCCTGACACCCTCAGAGATCAGGTGTGGTGTCTTTTGTGCACTGTTGGCCCTGTTCACAACACAGCGGCCATGCTCAGCCCACTCTTGGCACCTCCAGGAGCACCCTCTTCTCAGTCTCTCTTGTTGCCAGGTCCTGGCCTATTTCACTTTCTGCCTGTGGATAATCCCATTTGCATTCTTTGTGTCACTTTCGGCCGGGGAGAATGTCCTGCCGTCTACCATGCAGCCAGGAGGTGAGAAGGGGGTTGTAAGCGGCCAGGGTGGGAGGATGTCAGCAAGTCCTGAGTTGGCCGGGAGAACCAGAGCCCAGTCTGTGATGGAGATGCTGTGGCTCTGGGATGGGTGTGTTGACATTCACACACACCCCCCATCTCCCTTTCCCTCTCTCATATCTTGCCTATGTCTCCACAGATGATGTTGTCTCCAATTACTTCACCAAAGGCAAGCGGGGCAAACGCTTAGGGATCCTGGTTGTCTTCTCCTTCATCAAAGAGGCCATTCTACCCAGTCGTCAGAAGATATACTGACCCCCTTGGGGAGGGGATATGGGGGCAAGATCAGGAGAGTCATGCCCCTGGGCCTCTGTGCTAGGTGGGGGCTGAGATCTGGGAAGGCATCTTCTGCCAGACCTGGCTTTCCTTCCCTCAACTCTGAAGCCCCTTCCCCACCTTCCTCAGAGGGCTCAGTGTGGCTCAGATCTGATGCTGCTAGAGGCAGTAACCTCAGAGGGCACCAGGGAGGGTGGCAGAGCCTGCTTAGCCAGGAAGCTACAGTCCCCCGGGCCTCCCCTCCCTCTTCCAAGGTGGGTCAGGTGGTTCTGTGTCAGCTAGGGCAGGCAGGGCAGGGTCTATGAAGCTGGAGAGCAGAGGGTAACAAGTTCTTTGGGCAGGCGGCTGTGGGGAGGGGCCATGGCTTGGCATGTCCAAGAGAAATAGTTTTTGCTGTTGAACTGTGATTTCTGTCCAAGTGCTGATTCCCATTTGAATAAAGATTCTAGGTGGCACTGTTTGCCTTAATACCCTGACAGTTCATCTTCCTTTCTTCCTGTCTACCTTCTGCCCTGGACTGGACTAGCTTTTCTGCTCCAGGGACTCCCTTTTTGGATTTGGGTCTTATCCTTTTGAAGGGACTGTTCTTGTGGCCCTTCGTGGGAAGAGGGCAGAGGTGAGGTGCTGATCTGGTAAGGGAGTAGGGAGTGAGGTTAAAAGCAGCCTTTTTTATGTTATGCACCTCCCTTTTCTTCCATCTCTTCTTTCCCTAAGGCTCTGTGACTATCAAGCTGCGGGTAGGAGAGGGAACAGTTTAGGACTGTGTTAGATTTTCAGAACATCTATGATATCCTATTTATAAATCCTCCTCTGGGGAAAAGGCATGGTTTCTGGCTGGATACTGTCTCAAGCTAAGGAGAAATGAAATAAAAACTGGCTTGCCGCCAGCCTGGGCTCCAGCCTATTTTTTAAGAAATGGGGCTGATGAAAGAAAGTGTCTGCCATTCTAAAAGCAAGGTCTGGCCCTCTTTTCTGTGCACTTTTGGCTCCTGGGGAGATGATCTCTGCCTTCTAAGAAGGCAGGTTAGGTCTCAGGCACAGACCATTTGTTGACCTTGCACTCCAACTACAGTGCCTTGCAAGTGCTCAACAGTACCTACTGGAATGAAGTCCCCATGAGAGCCTTCAATGGCCATGTTCTATACCTCAAAGTGAGGCTGGCAGGTGCAGAGACAAACCGCATACATGTAGTACTATGAAGCCACTGGGAAGACCCCTGTGCTTGAAAATCCTCAAATCTTCCCTTCATGCCTGAAATCCCACCATAGCTGTTTATTTCTTTGGCTTTACCACTTCTGCTCTCTTAAAAATGCTAGCTTTCCCCTTTCCCTGGGCTGAGCAGCATGTGTTGGTCTTCTCTTGATGCAAATGAGGTTGCAAGGCCCTTTTCTCTTTTGAAGACCAGGACGGCAAGGCAGAGGACGTTGAAGGCTAGTGTCATCCTCTGGATAGGCTGACAGCTGCATGTACTCTCTCCTGTTGTCCATGCTTTGTTCCTCAGCCTGATAATGTGGCTTTACCACCTCCATTAATTCTGCTGCCATCGCTCTCCCAGGGGTTGCCAGTGGCCATGTGCTAAATCCAGCAGATGGTTTTCATATCTTACTGGATCTGGGCAGCATGTGACATGGGTGATCACCTCCTGCTTCTTGAATCTCACTTTCCTGGCACTTCTGTGGCTGGTTGTCCTCCTACCTCTCTGGCTGTTCCTTTCAGCCTCCTATGCAGGCTTCTCCATTCACCCCATGCACAATGGGGTGTCTCAGGGTTCTGTCATGGGCTCCTTGGGGAAGCCCATCCATGCCAATGGCTTCAAGGACTCTATTAAGGAATTGAGAGTTGATCTCCAGCCCCAGCATCCTTCGTACTTATCCAAACCACAGTTCTGCTGCCTTCTGAGTGTACAGACAACTCAAGTTGGCCCAGGTGGCACTTGCTGTCATTTGCAACCTTGCCTCTTTTGGATACCTGCCTTGGCCCTAAGATTACTCCAGAGCCAGACAGGAAACCTGCTTTCTAGTCCTGTTTTCTCTTTTTGTCCCCCACATTCAATCTATAAAAACTATCAAGTCTATCTTCTTTAACCTCTGTCAATTTGTGCCACTCCTGCTGTCATCAGCTTTTACTTGGATTATAGCCTCTGCTTCTCTATTCTACAGCTAGAGTTGTCTTTCTAAGATGCATAGTTGATCAAGTCCAAACCCTGGTTTTAAACCTTCCATGCCTCCCTACTTCCCTCAGGATAAGGTCCAGACCCCTTGGCATGGCTTGTGAGAATCATGGTGTCCTGATTCCTGCTTGCCTCTCTGGTCTCATCATTTGCCTTCTTGTACTGTGGGTCTCAGCCTCCTGTAACCAGAGATGCCATGGCTCTCCTTTGCCACTTTGAGTCCCCTTTCTTCTGCTTTGCTACTTTGTCAAGTCTCAACTTAGATTTTGCTACTTCTAAGGAGCTTTAAGTGTCTCCTCCCCACTCCCAACCCCACCCCAACACACCACACAGATCATAATGGGCTTACTTGCCTGCTTTATGGTCTGTCTCTCCGCTAGACTGTAAGCTCCTTGAGGGCAAGAACTATCCTTGAATTTTTGTATTAACAGTGCCTGGCATGGTGCCTGGCATCTATAAAGCACTCAATAAATGTTTGATGAATGAATTGTAGTGATGTTTACAAAGGATGGGGAGAGGGGCGAGCAGGGAAGTCATCAGCCAGTTCTCCTCTACCATCTGAATCATAGTCTAGTCCCCTCAACCCTTCAGGGACTACAGAAGTGCAAGTGCTTTCATAGTCTCTTATTGAAGCCACAGATCCTCCCTCCCCCAGATATGCTGCCTATGCCTCCCTGAGCTGTAGAAACATTAGTGCCAGCTGAGAATAGGGCCCATAGTATCAGGGAAGCTCATACCAGGGTGACACATTAGCTGTCCTCTACCCCATTCTGGATCTGGAGATGAAGAGTGGGGCTCAGAACCTGCAGCAGGAAGGACTTAACATGAACAAAGGACCATATGTCCCAGTGGTCCCTGCATCCTAAAAGACTTGTCTCTGGTAGGCTGGCTGGGAGCACTAGGGGATGCCAGAGTGTCACTTTTATAATGCTAAGACCCAAGAAACTAACTGACTCCCATTCTGGACCTAACTTGGATTTTCTGGGAGGCTCAGGAGATTTTTTGGCACAAAGAAGGAGGCCTGGAGTTTGGGCTTTGATTACGGCATTGGAGAGCAAGGAAATCCAGTCCTTGAGTATGGGAATGGGAAACCCATAGGACTCCCCTTTCCTTCCTCCTCACCCACAATGTGAATCACCACACCTCAGACTTCACTGGGCTGCCTCAGGTAGAGAGGCTATCAGAATAACTTTATGGATTTGTTTTAGGGTTGGGCAAGGCGGGGAGCCCTTGATGAGCTTGCAGAGCTGCTAGGAAGGCTCCATCAAATGTCTCACGCAGGTTCATGGCCATAGTGTCTGTCCAGAAGGTATCATCACCCAAGTACCGTTTCTGGGGCACATCACTTATGCTGATGGAGTAAAGGCCCTGGGGCACCTTCATCCTGTACGGACATGTACTTGGGTACAATGTGCGGACTATCACCTCAAAAGGCAGCTGGGGCACAGGTGTTACCCAGTGGCTATCCACTGTGTGCAGCCATGCACCACCATGCTGGTCTGGTGTCACCTCCAGGAAGCCACTGAAGTCATGCTCCAGGCTGGGGTCTGGATGTACACCCAAGCGGATGTCCTGTGGGAAGCTGATCTGGGTGCTGGGCTGTGTAGCAGGGTTGGTGCTAACATTCCATATTGTGGGCCGCCTGACTGAGAGTTGGAAGCTGATCTGTGGCTTCTTGGGCTTCTCCGTGGGCGGTGGTGGTATGCGCTGCAGGCGTGCCTCCACAGAAGGGTGGAAACTCTTGGAAAGCTGTTTCGTCTTGGAGAGGGTGATGGCACGGGCTTGCTTGGGGCCGGGAGAGTGACTTTGGTGTGTCAGCTTGCCTTGGAGCCACTTCTTGAAATCATCTTTTCTCAGAATTTTTTGCTTTTTCTGCAACAACAAAGGACACTACACAGTCATGGAGGGCCTTTTGCCCTCTGCTTCTGTGGTTATAGCCCTTGGAAACTTCAGGGCTGAATGGGGAGAGATTGCCCTTGTCCCAGGAAAACTTTGAATGTGTTGAGAGAAACACCTGCCTAATAGGAGCATTTGTTGTGATTGAAAGAGATGACTTTTGCCATAAAGGAGCTCCTAGGCTGAAGGGGAGACCTTCAATCTGATGGAGGAGACGTAGCATGTACCCTAGGTGAATCTCCATTTTGAGGAGTGAGACAGTCTGCACCCTAGGAAAAACCTCAGTTCTTGAAAGGAAAGATGCTCCCTCCCCACAAGGGAATTCCCAGTCTGATAGGGAAGACACACAGTAAAAGAGTTTGTTTGATGGGGAAAAGGCAAATGATGGCCAGGTGAGGCGGCTCATGCCCATAATCCCAGCAGTTTGGGAGGTTGAGGCAGGAGGATCACTTGAGGCCAGGATCAATTAGAAGCCAGCTTGGGCAAACAGCAAGACCTCTATTTATACAAAAAAAAGAAAAAAAATTAGCCAGGTATGGTGGTGCATGCTTGTAGTTCCAGCTACTTGGGAGGCTGAGGCAAGAGGATTGATTGAACCCAGGAGTTTGAGGCTACACTGAGCTATGATCATGCCACTGAACTCCAGCCCGGATACAAAGCAAGACCCTGTCTCAAAAGATGGCAAATGAAAAATGCAGACTACATCCTTGACTCTGAAAAAAGAGAGCAGAAAGGTCTGGAAGGCCTGAGATTGAGAAGAGCTAATCTAAGCAGACATCTTAGAAGTGGTGAATCTTGAGAAATAATGTAGGGGAGAATATGGTTGACTGGCTCTAGGCTGGATGGCTACAACTGGATCTAGATCTGTCCTTGCTGCCAGGAGTTGAACCTTCCATATGTTGTCACAAAATCCCTCTACTCCTGATGTTTCAGTGTCTCACTCCCAGACTGTTGCTAAGCAATCAGGTGCTTTGGAGATTGACCCAGCTCCCAGAGTAGGCTCTGATTAGGCTAAGCCAATCATAGTAATTCCATCAGCCTTGCCCCAGACCTAAGTCAGTCAGCATATGGCTTCCCTTTAGTTACAGCCATTGGAACAAGAGTGGACACTTGATCCAATTGAGGCCATAAAAGATGAGGGGAGATCTGTAAGGGGCTTTTGGAAAAGGTTATATCCACAGGAAACAGATGGGCCTTGCCTCTTCTGGACAGGTGTGTGACTGTAAGGTTGGTGATACCAACAACAGAGGAAGGGCTGAGAAAACTGGAGGGAAATGCAGCTGAAATAGCTTCTCACTTCAGGATTCACTTAAGAGTCCCAGCATCATCTTTCTGGGTCTCCTGTTATTTGCATCACGTGTAATTTACACCTACTTAAAATCTCCTTTCTTCCTCAATCAAGGTCCTTCGTTGATCTGGTCCCCTGCCAAATCTCTAGCTTGTCAACCTCCATCTCACATGTGATCTCCAGCTATATTGAATTGGTTCTGTGCATATACCGTGTTCCCATGTGCCACTGTGCCTTTCCATACAGCTATTCCCTACACTTGGTCAGCCCTTCCCTGCTTCTTCATCTGGCCAACTGCTGGGCCATCTTTTTTATTTATTTTATTTTTTTGTAGAGATGGAGTCTTGTTGCCCAAGTTGCCCAGGCTAGTCTTGAACTCCTAGCCTCAAGAGAGCCTCCTGCTTCAGTCTTCCAAAGTGCTAGGGTTACAGGCATGTGCTACCATGTCCAGCCTCTTGCTGCCCATCTTTAGTGACTCCTTTTCAGCATCATGCCTTTTGCCACCCTGTTGGGCCCTCTCCTCCCCAGTGGGACTATAATCTGCCTCCTCTACTAGACTGAGCTCCTCAAGTGTGGGAAGCACAACTTTGGAGCCTCGGGGCCTGGCAGGTGCCTAGCACAGAGTGAGTATTCAATGTCTGTTGGAAGGAAGGAGTTTGAGTCCCAAATACAAGGCAGGGCCTTTCTCTCATTAGAGATTCTTATCCTGAAGTGCAGTGTACTAGGAGGGGCTCAAAAAAACTTGCAAATTGAAGCTGTAATTTGCTTTCTGATACAGGACAAGACTTTTGACCTAAAGAAGTGGCTTATAAGAGTGGAATTTCAGTTAAGTCTTGGGGAGAGGGAGGCTGTTTCTGGGTGGGAGTGCTTCTAACCACGCTTCTCTCCATATCACTGGGGTGTTGTCCCTGTTCACATGCATGGGTAGTAGCTGAGACCTGATGCCCCTGCCTGGTTCATCCTTACCTGATACTCAATCAGGTAGTTCTTCTCCATGATGAGCAGCTGGTCCTTGAGCCTTTTCAGCTTTCCCATTTCATGAGCAAAGTCACTCTTGTCCCGTTTCCACATGGCATCCTTCAAGAACCTGGTGCCAAGGTGGAGAGGAACACGTCATCCCACAGTGACTGAGCTTCCACCTGGGATGGGAAGAATGGCTACTGCTGATGGCCTGGAGGTGGGTGGTATGGTGAGAGGAGCTGCCAGAGATTAGATGAGCAAAATGACCTGTTCCAACTGCCCAGGGGCTCCCTGGCTAACTGCTTCCTTTGAGATGAAAGAAGAAAGTATCTGATGTCCTGGTCACCACCCTCCTAATGAGGAGCCAGGGGACCCTCACTCCAGTGCTCCAGGAGGGCAATGCTCACTCCAAAACCTGGGCAGGGGACTTCTCACCAGACTCATCTCCCAGCTCTCTGGCTTCCCAGATGCTCCCCTTAAAGGCTCAGCCTTGGATGAGGTCCCATGAGAAAGGGCTGGGTAAGAGGGAGTAGGTGGCAGGCTGAAGGTGGTTCTTGCACTCACCGGGCACAGGCACGGTGGTTCCATATTTTGCAGAAATCGATGGGTTTGAGGCCCAAGTCATCTTGGGCATGGACATCAGCACCACTCTGCACCAGGACCTTCACACAGCCCAGCAGGCCCTCACGGGCTGCCAGGTGCAGCGGCGTGGAGCCATTGCATGTTTGACTGTGGAAGGGTGATGAGGGTGGAAAGGAAGGACAAGGGACCCATCAGACAAGTGCTTTGCCACCAGCCTACTGGGTGACCCTGGCCATGTCCCTTCGCTTGTCTGTACCTCAGTTTCCTTTACTGTAGAGGGAGGGATTGGACTGAATAAACAGTAAAAAGCTGATTATGAGAGGTATGTGGAAGTTAAGAACTGCTGGAAGGTGAACAGGATTGGTTCGGAGACCACTGACCTCATCTACTCTTTTACCAACCAGCCCTCTTGCCCCCTCCCCATGGCCCACAAAGTCTACATATCTCAGGCCCTGTCTCTTCCTCACTCTCACCCTCAGGCCTTGCCCCACTGTTTCCCAGCACATGGCCTTTGCATATGACATTCACTCTGTCTACAACTCTTTTCCCTGGGTCTTTGTATGGCTGGCTAACACAGTGTTCAGGTTGCAATTTAAATGTCACCTCCTAGGCCTGGCACAGTGGCTCATGCCTGTAATCCTAGCACTAAGGGAAGCTGAGGCAAGTGGATTGCTTGAGCTCAGGAGATCAGCCTGAGCAAGAGTGAGACCTCATCTCTACTAAAAATAGAAAAATGGCCAGGCATGATAGTGCATGCCTATAGTCCTAGCTACTTGGGAGCCTGAGATAGGAGGCTAACTTGAGCCCAAGAGTTTGAGGTTGCTGTGAGCTATGATGACACCATGGCAATCTACCCAGGGCAACAGAGTGAGACACTGTCTATAAGTAAATAAATAAATACAAAAATAAATAATCACCTCCTTGGAAGTAATTGCCTCTTCCCAAATAGATGCCTCTTCTGAAATAGATCCCCCTACTTATCACCTGTTTATCCCCTTCATGATCATTCCCCCTGCTCTGGCAGGGTTTTGTTCATTTATTTCTTTGCTAATATATTGTCTAAGCATGTCAGCGTTGCAAGGGCTGGAACAATTTGTGTGTTTTCTGCTGTGTTCTCCAGCTCTGTTATAGTGCTTAGCACATACTGCATGCTTAGTAGATATTTTGAAAAATGCACTTTGTCAGTGATCACAGCAGTGTCATGTGATAGGCAGTGTTGTCCTACCAAATTTCACTTGAAGGTATTGAAGTAGTGGTTCCCACACTTAACTGCAAATTAGAAACACCTAGGGATCTCTTAATGCTTTCCAAAGCCCAGGCCACACTACAGACTGATTAAATCACAACCTTTGGATTAGAACACAGGCAGTTGTATTTTTAAAGTTCCTCAGGAGATTCCTATGTACACATAGGTTTGGGAACCAGAGCACTGAGGCTTAGAGCTGAGTGATAAGCTAAGATCTTGGCTGTTTGCTAGCAAATAGCAAAGCTAGGCTATGAACTGGGTCTATCCTCCCCTAAACCCCAATCTCTTAACCACTATACCATATGGCCTCCATGACTGCTTTATGGGGGACCCAATCCTTGTCACCCTCAACAGCCCCTCTGCCTGGGAGTGGGGTTCCTGCCTGTCCAGGCTCCAAGTCTCCCTCTTGAAGCAGGCTGGACTCACGCGTTGAGGGCTGCCCCTTTCCCAAGCAGGTAGGAAATGCAGGGGAGTGCCATGGTCTTGTTGTCCCTGTGGATGACGAGGTGCAGGGGAGTCTGGCTATTGTTGGTGGGCAGGTCCACAGGAAAATTGTACTCCTCTATCAAAATCTGCAGGCATGCAAGCTTGCCGCGCTGGGCTGCGAAATGGAGGGCAGTGAAGCCCTGTGGAGTCCAGAACCAGACAGAAGGCTGAATGGGATGGAGTCCCTAGGTTCACAGCTTAACCTATATAGCAATTTCTTAGAATTACTCTTCCTCTCAGTCCTGTCTCCCCCACCCCCTCCAACCCCTGGGAATGCTCACACCCTTTTCTCACTCCCAGTGTGTACTCATTGGCTTACCCTTACCTCCCTGCCCCCAAATAGACCTCCCACTGCTGGACGATTAATTTGAACACAGAAAAGCACATTTCTGGGTGCTCCAGAGACAGATCTTCACTAGGTGACCATCTATATGGGGAGCTCTTGGCAGGGTGGGCCAAGTCCTGGTCCCCGGCACTCCAGGACCTTACCTTGTGGTCGGTCCGGATTTCTCTACTATCCCGATCCAGACAGAACCGCAACCATTGGACGTTGCCCACCGCAGCAGCGAACAGCTCGTAGTTCCCGACCACCTTTTGGTCCTGCTCATCGCTAGAGTCGGTGCAGGGATGGGGTGAGCGAGGCAGGAGCAGCGGCGCTGGGGTGCCCGCGGAGGGTGCCCACGTGGAGAGGGAAGTGGCTGCGCACTGCAGCGTTCAGGGAGACCTGGCCTGAGCTGGCTGGTCCACAGGACAATGAGGAAGTGACCATCGTCACTTCCAGGCACCTATCGGGAGGCAAGCCCTGGCCCTTCGGGGCTCAGCATCAGCCCCCGCCCGCTCCAGACCCTGACCTGACAGGGTGGCACTGAGCACAGTTCTCGAGTCGCGGCCGAGCCAACTTCCCTCCCGGCCCACCTGAACGGCTTGTAGTCCACGTTACTCCAAATGTACTTCAAGGAGAACTTCTCCGCCCTGTGTAAGCCACTTGATGCTGCCATGGCAAATGCCCCCCGCCGACAGGTCCTGCCCTGGGAGGACACATCCCAGGTGCCCTGGGAGGGACGGAGCAGAGCCCCTGTCCAGGAGAAGTATTCCATGACTGGCCCCTTCCAGGCCCTCGGGGCTGGGCCGGGTTGCTTCCCTCACTGGAGGAGCAGAGCCCGGGCGCCTCAGGGCTCCTGCTCTCAACCCGCTGGGGCTCAGCTTCCAAGCAACACCCCCATCACCACCACACACACACCCAACTCACGCCCTGGAAACTCAGCATCAAGCCACAAAGACACTTAGCTTTTGTTTCCGATTATAAATTAATAAATAGAAAACAGAAAAAGCACAATGTAGAAATTAAAAATCATCATCCCACTACCCACACAAATCACGGACTGTGGAGATATATAGGTACAGATATGTATACATGGTGGTATACATATCACGTCCACATACATAATTTGTATCTATTTAGCGTTACATTATGAGCTAGGTCTCCTTGTCATCCCACATACTAAATGTGCATTGTGACGCATGTAGCCCAACATCATAAGGGATGAACAGTCATTTCACATGTACTGCAGAAAACAAAATGGCTCAACCTGGTGGTGTTCTTAGGATGGATTCCCGGAAGTAGAATTGCTAAATGAAAGGAAATGATATTTTTCAGCTGTTAAAATTTGATTCCAAACTGCCATCTATAAAGATATTTTATATTCACTTACACTTCCACGTTCAGTGAAGTGAGCACATTGCACATCAGCAGTGTGGCCTTGGGCAGGTCACTTGACCTCTGTCTTTCTGCATCAGCAAAACGAGGAATAATACAACTTGCGAGGAATAATACAACTTGCGTCACAAAGGGTGAAGGAATGCAGCAGTGAGGACTATGCTAGCAGAGAACAACCTGCAAATTTGCTATCACTAAAACAGGAATTATACAAACCGCTGATAGCACTAGATATTGTGATTTAAAATAAGTGTTTGCTAATTTGGTGATGGAAATGGCATTCTGATGTGCCTCTTTGACTACTAGCAGGAGAATATAGGAACTGAGCAGAGGCCTGAGCAGGAGAGGACACAACACTTGAAAGACTCCTTGGCCAGAGCCAGGCATCTGGGCAGACAGGACCTGGTAAACAACAGAAGTTAGACCATGAGAAGGACAGACAGCAGAAAATGCCCAAAGAAAGATTTGATTTCTTCTTTGAAAGGGTATGATAAAGGTAATGCCCAGGGTAACTGCATCTACAGTTCCAGGCAAGGAAGCTGCAAGGCTGAGTGGGGGGAGGCATGTCTGGGAGAACTGGGGGGAAGACCTAGAGGTACTTCTACACTCCAGGGCCAGTGCCCAAGGTCAGCTTCTCTCCCTGTTCCCTAAAGTACCTCAAGGGTCCTTTTCAGGGCCCTTTTGAAGCTTAAGCTAGTTTGGATTGAGTTTCTGTCACACTCAACTGAAGCCTGATTAGTACAAATTTCCTGAGGTTAAATTCTCTGCTAGGTAAATTAATTAGGAACAGTGGGATGGGCCCTGAAAGGAGCCATGTGGGCTAGGGCACTATGAAGCCCTAAGGGACATTGAAATCTGTTCCTGCAGTGTCCTCCAGAAGGAGAGGAAGTTTACACCAGGGGAATGGCCAGGCAAATGAAACTAAATTATGCTTACTAAATTATGTCAGTCATATCACTTACATCAGATTTCCAAGTTGTGTTTCCATTTTCCTATTTGTTTTCCCTGGTGCTCTCAGTGAATATGCTGAATGTGAATGAGTCCCTTTTTTTTTTATACTTTCAGAGGAATTCCAAAGGATCAGTGGAGCCCACCCTGAGCTTGTTGTTGCAATTTGATCAGGGCTGGGTTTGAACCCACCACCCTCGGTATATGGGGCTGGCACTAAGGCACCCTCCCACTGTGAGCTTGTGTCTTCTCTCCTCCACTGGATGTCTCACAGATGGCAGTTACAACAGGCTTTCAGGCCTAGGAGGTTATTTACTCAGACTGATATCTGCATATCATGCTCAATCCAAATGGTCCCAGAATGAAGCCAAAATATAATTCCAAAGTCTCTTGGACTTCTTAGATCTAAAATAAGTTTGTTTTGAATACCTATGCCTGACTTTCTCTTCTGGAATGGTACAATGAGGAGTTCTTTGGACCTACTCCCCAGGAAACAATCATAACTGGTGAAAACTATTTTAAAAACCAACTATGTAAATTCTCTAGGAATTGTCCCAAAGGCATAAATCAAATGAAGAAACATTTATTTAAGAAAATTAGGCCAGGCACTGTGACTCACGCCTGTAATCCTAGCACTCTGGGAGGCCAAGGCGGGTAGATTGCCTCTGCTTGCAGGTTCATGACCAGCCTGAGTGAGAGCAAGACCTCATCTGTAAAAATAGCCAGGCGTTGTAGCGGTGCCTGTAGTCCTAGCTACTTGGGAGGCTGAGACATGAGAATCTCTTGAGCCCAAGAGGTTTGAGGTTGCTGTGAGCTATGACTCCACATCACTTTACCAAGGGCAAAAAAGTGAGACTCTGTCTAAATAAATAAATAATAATAATAAAAGAAAAGGAAATGAAACGGATCCAGATTTGAAAGGAATAAGTGAAGCTATCTCGGTAGATGCTATGATCGTGTATACTGAAAATCCTAAGGAATCCATTAAAGCCCATTAGAGCTAATAAATAAGTCCAGTCGAGTTACAGAATACAAGATCAATACACAAAAATCAATTGTATTTCTATACACTAGCAATGAGCAATCTGAAAATTAGATTATGAAAACAATTTTACAGTGGCATCATAAAGAATAAAATACTTAGATATAAATTTAAGGGAAACAAAACTTATTCCCTGAAAACTACAAAATCTAGTTGAAAGAAATGTAAAAAAGGCCTAAGTAAATAGAAAGATATTCCATGTTCATGAATCAGAAGACTTAATATTGGTAAGATGGCAATACTCCCCAAATCAATCTTGAGACCAGCCTGGGCAACATAGTGAGATCCTGTCTCAACAAAACAAAAGAGGGGAAAGATTTAATATAATTCTTATCATAATTCAAGCTGGTTTATTTGTGAAAATAGACAAGTGGATCTCAAAATTCTTATGAAAATTCAAGGGACCCAGAATAGTAAAAACTGCCCTGAAAAAGTGGGAGCCCACCCACTTAATCAAAACTTGCTTACAAAGCTACAGTGACTAAAAAAGTGTGGTACTGGCATAAGGATAGACAAATAGATCAATGGAATAGATTGAGTCCAGAAATAACCTCTCACATTAATGGTCAACTAATTTTTGCTAGGACAATTCAATGGAAGAATAGTCTTTTTAACAAACAGGTCAACTGAATATCCACATGCAAAAATAAAGTTGGACTCTCAGCTCACACAACATACAAAAATTAAATCAAAGTGGATGAAAGATTTAAATATAACAGCTAAAACTGTAGAACTCTTAGAAGAGAACATAAGCCTGAGCAAGAGTGAGACCCTGTCTCTAAAAACAGCCAGGCATTGTGGTGGGTGCCTGTCAGGAGGCTAAGGCAAAAGGATCACTTGAGCCCAGGAATTTGAGGTTGCTGTGCACTATGATGTCACAGCACTTTACTGAGGGCGACAAAGTGAAACACTGTCTCAAAAAAGAAAAAAGGGTGGAGGGAGGGGGGAGAGGGTGGAGGGAGAGGGATTCGAGGGTTCACTTCTGTGGTTCATCTTGCAAGGGTACAAGTGAATCTTTCTATGAGTAGAATATGAATGTTTTG